GACGACGTTTGGCAAAACGGAACGTTACAAAGGTCAAAAGTTATGGGAATGATTTACACGGAAAACGTACGGCTACCAGCTTAAAGGTGCTATTTATTATGGACCGCATCGCCCATGTACGTACAAAATACAAATAACATTTGACTTCTACTTCCGGTGTCCGTATGATCGGCGGGTCTGAAAATATAAACGCCACTTAGTTTTAGCACATTTGTATTTCTTCACACGGCTGATATTCAATGTTATTCAATTCACTTGCTAATTTATACCGAGTGTAGGACATGTCTAATAAAAACATTTTTCACAGGGATAGTCAAAAATCAATTATCACTTTTGGCATACATCGTTATCACACGTAGTTAAATTAACTATTAAGAGGTTCATTTTTGTTTTTTTTAAATCTGGCCACTAAAATTAAATTAAATACCAAGCATTTAATCAATTTCATAATAAATTATAGGTTTTGCCTAGGTTTAGTTATTTATTTTAATACCACATTCAAGTGATAAAAAAATATTATTTCAGTGCCAAAATGATTATGGTGCGGTTTACAGACCTTCCAGAGGTTTTCTAGAGGTTATAAATGTGTTAATTTTTATGCACATTTTTAAGAGGTATGCAGCGTGTACTCTTTATCCTAACCGTTCCCTATTTTATAGTAGTTTACATGCTAATAAATATATTGGTAACATTTCACCACGTAGTAAGTTTTTTTGAAATTTGCACACAATATTTATATATTTTGTTCTTCAAATTAACATTTAACTTCCTTCGCTATCCGTGAGCTTTTTTTATCATCCAGTAGCTCTAAACCTCGACATTAAATACCCTAGCTTAGTAAACTACATTTATTTTTTCACTCTTCCCACATCAATATTAAGACCAGTAGTTCTGCGGGCAACATATTTTAATACGGACGTGATATGCCACACAAATGACCAACATTTACACTCGGAACGTGTACTTAAGTTATTATTTATAATTTTTTTTTTTTTTTTAGGGGTTTGAGTACGACGAAATAAAAAAGGACGTCGTGACCGAAACCGGTGATAAGCAAACAGCAGCCGAGAGGTGGAAAAACGGCTCGTAGCTTATGGTGGTGTATTTACGTTTAACTTTTTCACGAGTAATTTTTCGAAAAGTGTATTTTTTTAAGGCTTTTTACACTTTAAAGTTTATACTTGGCGATTGCTTGCAGAATAATCGCAATCGCAGTTTACGTTGAACAAGAACTTTGTCCAAAGCCATATTTTTTAATTAACTCAAACCTGAAATAGCTGGTTTTATAGTTCCAAGCATCTAAGCACAAGTAATAGACGAAACCGATAAAAAGTATTAGGTGCAACTTGGGAGGAATAGAAGACGATGCAACGTCGGGCGACGTATCGTATAAATAATAACTATTTTACTTTTATAGGAGACGAAAATGTGTCGGGTAATTGAATTTTGATAAAAAGTTGTGAGGTTTTCGAAACAACTTTTATGCCGTTTATAATGTAGGTTAAAAGAAAGGCGGTAGTTGTAACATTACAGAAACACGCACACGGAGTTGGCAACAAAGGTCGTTGTTTCGATTTATCTAATATCACACAAGACGTGCGAGATAAAAAAACAGTCACGGACGAACGGACAACGCCGCTCCGTATGAATAAAGTGTATACAACATAGTGCCTAATCCCGGTGACCCTAAATTCTGTTTAGTAAAACATGTTTTCCAATTCACCCACGTACCATTGCAGTTATGCGAGTTGAACTCGAATACTAATGTGTCTACGGATATCAAGACAATATTAAAACTATAATGGCATATAATTTGTTTTCCATTGGGATTTACGGAAGGTTTGCTATAGTCATTTTAAGCTTCGATGTGGACATGGCGAGGTATTATTTGCAACGATAGGTTTTATTAGGTACTTTTGTTTTGTATCTCGTCCTGTAATACACCCTAACACGATTAGATCTCATCGTGTGGTAAATCTGTACATCAGAAATCGTACCTGCAAGGTACTTTATTGAGCAAATAATTAAAAAAGTTCACCCTTTTCCGTTCATAATTATTGAGGAAAACACCCAAAATTGAAAATTACTGCACATTATCCGTTTAATGACAATACGATTTTCAAAGTCCAAATTATTCGCTTGAATTAAATGTTATTTAAAAACAATTAAACGTTCTATAAAATGCGTCCTTTAAAATAATGTCTTCGTGTTAATTATGAGTATAATTTGGCTGTAAGCCTATGCAATTAAACAAAACCATTAAAAATATGGTTTTTTTCCTAGTGACGAAATAGGAGTTTCATAAATGTTCCTACTTATGCTCCGACTTGCATTTCTTTTTGTATAACATATTGTAGCTTTCAAAAAGTGTTTGAGTAATATGTTCAATATCTTTTATTCGCGTTTCTTGGAAAACATTATTTGCTTTCGACTTCCAATCGTGTCTGAATAATGCCTTTTTTTAGTACCTGCGATAAGGTCCGAAAAATCGCTGTGTGCGAAAATTGCATTATCTGAACATAAAGGCGACCGGATAAACAAGCTGCACCTACACACGAAAAGGGGTGAAGTACAAATACAAGATATAAACTGATCATATTTTCCTTTTAAGCAGTCAATAGTAGAAAATCGCCATTTTCTAAGGGTCTATTGGCAATTTTTCGATAAGATTGCCAAACGTTCTTTATCGGTTACGGCTATCGCACGATTTCAATGACTCAAAAATTATGCATTTTGGTTTACATATTATAATATTTCCATTCGTTTATTTCCACACGCTTAGCCACAGAGCTACAGCGGAACCTCATTGGTCATGTGCGATACATTTTAGAATGGCCCCTATAACTGCGTGTATTAAGCTTAAATAAATACAACCGTGGTCCATACTAACTATAAAGATACTACTAGGTACCTACGTGAGGTATTTGCAAAAACCGTAAAATACGAATAGATTTGAAACATTACAACAATATTCATAACCTAACTTATTAAAGATACTATTTTTTTAAAAATAATTTTTAAAACGCGCAATTTTCAGTATAATTTCCATAATATACCGATAATAGTATAAATTAAAATTATACCATTTGACACTTAAACTTGAACTTACTATTATTTGATCATTAATAGAGAAATACAACATACCAGCAAATATATTTAGATACACATATTGTAATCTTTGATTAGACAGACATTTGTAAATGTGTATTCCCCCTTAATACACATTTACATTTCGTTACTCCTTATTCCCATCACTGTGTATCTCACGCGCAAGTCACAATATAGAAATTTAAACATATATTTTGTTCATTGAACCGATCTATCTACCGATGCTATAAATAATTTGAAAATAGATTTGAATTTGTCACAAAGTTTACTAGATGTCGGGTTTTCTTACTTTTTTCAATTTTAAAATCTCATTTGGAGTGTTAAAATTTGAAATTAAAAAATTTTAAAAAACCGATTTTAAATAAAATGTACCAATGACAAACCCAAATATGTTTTCAAATTCCTTTTTGCACCAGTTGGTAGATGAGTACGATTGACAAAAATAAGCCAGGAATAATCAATATATTATAACTGTTAATTTTTTAAGTGCTTTTGACATAAGTATACTGTGGCCAAATTGAAATTCTATTTAAAATTTTGAACACGAAATCATTGAAAGTAAAACTATATATATAATATATAGCGTGTCAAAATTAGTTAAAACATATGTAAATGTTTTAGGTGTTTTTCTCAATTTTTAAAGGGAAGGGGTAAAGTTTTAAAATGTTTGGCCCAATTTAATACCTTTCGGGAACGATTTATGTCCTAAAGACATGCTACAAGAAGAAATCAGCTACTTTTATTCAGCTGGTTTATGAGATATCGTGGGCCCAATCACAAAAAATAAATTCCTTAGACCAGTACAGTGGGTTTCGGTGGGATCGGGGAGATTACATGTATTAAGGAATTATTAAACTAAAGTCTAAAAGTGCTTCTTCGATGCGAATCTATGGGTAGTAAAAAGTATTAAACATATCAATATAAAATATAAATCAATATTTGGGTATCGTACTTGTTTGTAATCGTTTTATTAAATATTCGGGGTTTCCATGATAAAAAAAAGCTTGACTAGTTATTTGAAAGAAAAGTAATGCGCAGTGATGTGCAAAATCAAAACTAAACCATGAAGTATGATTATTATGATCCCTAATATTCCAAATGACACTTTAACATTTTATTTAGAAATATTAAATTATATATATTATATACTATATATGGATAATCAGGATATATCATATGCTTTAAATTAATCTATGTATGATGTCGCTACTATAAGATAAATAAAAGTTAAGTTCTTAATTTTCGTTTGCTTACTTTCAATATGTTGTTAGTTTTAATAAAACATTATTTAATTTACCTTTTAAATATTCTATTATATATATATATATATATATATAAATATATATCCATATAGATAGATAGATTTCTGGTTAACCGAAATTCATAAATAGTAAAATATATTAATATGTAAAGTATATGCCGCAAAAAATGTAATATTACATTTTAGCGGTTTTTCGTGAAATAAAAGTTCAAACAAAATTGTTCAATTCTGATGGACCATTTTTAGGCATGAAAAAATAATCTGCAACATGCATGCAACTTGCTATTGATTTTAATGTTCGTCGAAATAACATTTATTCCACGTGTGTAAGCATAAATTCTATATATTATTAACACTGTAAGTTCATCTAAAAAGTAAAAACTACTCAAAAATTAATTATTATCTAACCTAACGCAATGTCAATACAATTATATTTTTATTTTCAACGAGTAATCACTTCATGTTATTTTCTAAACTACCGTTATTATTTACTCGACAGTGAAACTCAGTTTTATTCCTCATCACGAGTAACAATCGATAACTTTTGAGTTATGATTCATCATAATAGTCAATTGTCTATAATTGATAGTGAAATATTTATTAATTTGAAATTTTCTAAATAAGATATTACCTGTTGAATCCACGGCGAAGACGTCGTCAGTTGGCCATGTGCTGACGAGAAACCAGCACGCAATCCAAGCGGCACGCGAGCGGGCTGGTCGCCACATAACTACTGACTACGGAAGTTACACAGAGTTTTCAAAATGCTTAACGCCGCCCCTGACCTACAGCACCCTGCCGGACATTCCTCGACACGCCTTTGAAAGAAGATAATAATCGCATAAAACCTAAAAAAACATTTTTTAATAATGACAATGAAATAAAAGTCGAATTTATAAAAATAAACTGATTACACGCACAATATATAATAATATTACTTGTATAATATATTTAAAAAAAAAAACGGTTTGTTAATTGCCCACACAATTTTACACAAAATTAGACAGTAAATAATTAATAATAAATATTAATTTCGTAGTGTAAAGGGAAAAAGGTTAAAGTTAAGTTATAATAAATACTTTTGATGCAAAAATGAAAAAGTATTAGGGTTTCAATTATTATATTTTTACGGATTGCGCCATAATGATTTAAAAACACTGTAGTGTTTGGACAAAAAGGTATAAGTCCATTAATTATGATTATTAGTAGTTGCACTATATTTTACTATTCTTTATGACTCCTGAGCTAAGAATCCAGCTAGAATGGTAATCGTGTTAGATGGTTATTACTACCTAGTATTATATTATTTTTTTATTTTTCAATTATACCAGTCTCACATTTTTATTACTACACTTATGGCTTATCTATCTTGGTAGTTAACTCCAAAGTCTTTTTTTAAAAATACACAGTATTTAATCCATAGAACAAAAGTATGTTCACTATTTATAATAATCGGTAACGATTCAAAACAATCAGGGTGTCGGTGACGGCTATTAAATTTAATTTTTAGATTAGTCGTTGTATCTATAGTATATGTGTGTTCAGTTTAGTTAGTCAGAATATATTAAAATGTGTTTGTCTAGTATCCGCTTTGTATAGGTGCAATACAAATTGGCCAATTTGCATGTATATTGGTAGTTTTCAAGGGTTAAAGGGCTGAACTAATCCAATATCGTTTTAATATCGTCTTTTATTATGTCACTCGGGTTCACTTTGGCGTGATTACTATATTATACATATTCAGATGGTTGGTTTTGGACCTTCACCTTTAAACTTCTAACATATGATATGATGGGTTTTGTTTCAAAAAGATCATTTAATATAAGAATACCATTGAAATATGTAACGCTTTGATGCGTACCTGTGTAATGAGTCAACTAAACACAGTGATGGTGTCATTTTCAGATTTAATAATTGCTTAGATCCAACTTTGCTCATTTCTTACTGTGCTGGTTTAAGACTGTGGTGGCTTGGACTAACTTCGTTCTGTTCTACTTTTAGATTACCCTTAATTGTTCAAGTATTTTTACTTCAATTGCTCGCTTAATTATTTAGCACATCCGCGTAAGCAGTAGCGTTCATACGGAGGGGGGGGAGATAAATCCTGCTCCCAGAACAAAAAAAAAACAGTTTTAAAATAGCTAATATGCATTATGAAATATAAGCACGTCATGAAAAGCCCTTCAATATATTAATGTGTCATTTAAATCCCTAAATCCCCCTGTTAGAAAGCTGAATGAATGTACGCCACTCATATTCTTTTGGTTTTTCGTGATTAAATTCACCGTATCTGTATGTTTGTGCACAGTCCCGAACCGAATTTTCGAAAACACACATTTGTAAAGCATTTACAAGTTCTTTTTTTTTAACTAAAAGTCTACTAATTAAAACTAAGTTTTGTTTTATATAAAACGCTTAATAGCGTTTTAATAGGAAAACCCGTACAACCGACCTTATATGTTATTCATTGCATTTATTAGTATTTGATACAAATAATTGTTTATATGTCTATCGAAAAAGTGAAAATAAATAATTTATTCTTTCTAAAGTTTTTTTTTTCAATTTAATTTTGATATTTCGTTTGTAGTATGTACACTGTACCGGCGAAAAAAGGCCTTTGGGATAATAGTATGAATGTTCGTTTTCTTCGGCGAACCGTAAAAATAAAATATATATTCACAAATCGTATTTTCAACATTGCAGCCGCAAATCCAGACTCCAGTATTTCCACCCTGTTCGGTTGAGCAGTCAATTATAATGTACCAAACACCCTACAAGATCTGTTATTCTCTTAAACGGGAGCTTCGCCCATCAAACAAGGTATTCTGCTCGTTTTAATAAGTACCCCCATAAATTCTCAGGTATCTGATAAGTATTATGTTATATATTTATAAATTATAAATATATACAAAGTCATTAAATAATGCTGGGTTTGCCTTCACCACATTTTAGATTGGGAAAAACAGATTTAAAAATAAATTACTTCGATTTAAATATTTAAATGCAAGCGACAAAAACGGTTTACAAATCTTCCCCTTTGAGTGTTTAATCATGTATATTGCTGCTAAAATCCTCTAAAATGCAATTTCCCTTCATTTCTTCTATTGCCGTCTACGAGGAGCTTCAAAAAAATAGTTGAGTTCAACATTTTTGTTAAATTATTATTTAAATATATAATTTTGATCAGTTATTGTAAGTAATGATACTTGATGAATAAGAATACAAATTTTAAATAAAATATGTGATGTTTTACAAAAACAATTAATTAGTTTTTAAAAAAGATAGCGTTTAGAAAGTAAACCCCAATACTACCTTGATAAAATATAAAGAACACTAAACCACTTTAAATTCCTAACAGCTAACTAACAAAATATACATAATTATGGACTATAATTTATAAACAACAAAAATATGCTTAAAAATCAGACTAACAAACGAACACTATATTAAGGTGTTTAGTCTTTACAAAAGATACATTTAGAAGGCAAATCGCTTCAAAAAAATTATAAAGTTAAAAATGTTAAATCAAAGGCTTTCAGATAAGCGCTAATATGTGAGAACCGATAGTAGACAAATACTAAGACAATAGTCAATACTAAGTATGTAATGTGCACCAATTGATAACATGTTAAAACAATTTATGATAAAACTTGTATAGAAAAATATATGATTAAATTAAATAAAAAGTACACTATGTAGTTGTTTGCAGTTGGCATTGTTTCCGAGTTAAAATGCATTGTTCCGTTTAATTTGGGCGCTATAATAGCGTACCCAAACATACACCTGTCGCTAAGATCTTTAGGCATTTTAAAAGTGCCATTATCACACCACGTTCTACCAAATGAGTTCATTAGTAACCAATATTTATCTTCGCCATCTTGACCCCATCCAATCAATTTCACAGCATGCTCGCCTTCGAAGTGTCCCGACGAATGTCTATAAATACCTGCGATAGAAAAATTATACAATTAATACCAATTATTAATATATCCCATCCTTAGGTGATAATATTATGATAGTTATTTAAAGGTAATAAAATTGTTCTTTAATTAAATATTAAAGGCAGAAAATTATGTTTATTAATTTATGAATTGAACGGAGAAAACTAAAAACAACCATTTTACGAGACAGGACGTGACGTGATAAGCGTAACGTAATAATAGTGTGTTTCTGATAAATTATAATAAATTGATAACGAACCCAAAAAATGTAAATACTTTTTTAAATCAAAAACAAAATAATATAAAAACGGTATGTTAAATTAAAATCAACTGATTTTTTTTCTAAGCCATGGGTAAAAGGTATTAAGTTCAAAAACTTCATAAATGGGGTTAAATACGATATGATGTGGAGCATAGCGGCCAGAACAGCTAAGCCCATTAATTTCTGCCATTAAGTAGATCAACAGTTGGTAAAAAAACGTGACTACAGATTTTTGAGAAAATTGTGGATATTATAACCAACTCAGATCTACCTTCAGTCTAGTTTTCCGATCTCAAATCCTAAAATTACATTCTAAAAAAAAATAAACAAAAAGCTTCCACCCCTTCTAGGAGAACAACTTTTGATATTATTTTTTTTTTTGTCAAAGTATATCGAATTTAGACACATGCTAGAGACACAACAATTTTAAACACATCATTACCTTCTGAGTTACGTATCGAAGCTAAAAGAAATATTTCTGTTTGTCGTTTTACCTAGATAAAAAAAATAATTGAATAATGCCAACTATGAGTTAACTCGTCATATTTTTTTATCATTCCTGACTAATACCTTTTAAAGTTTCAAAAAAAATGTATTATTCTAGCCGAATTATTGGAGTATTTGGTTTACCACCAGTGTGCCATCTTAGATCATCATAAAAATGCATGGACACTTGTACTGGTCCGTTTACAAATACTTCTCTCATAATTGCAAAGTGATTTTTCCGCGACAGTAGCTCATAGTCCAATACTGAACAGATTTAAAATAATTATTGGGTACTGATAAAACTACTGTTGTTACTATTTTGTGAAATATGTGCACACTTTGGTAACTAGTTCCAAAAATGAAGCTTTCCTTTTGATTGTACCCACTCCTGCATTTATTTGACCAGCAATCTGGCACTATATCGCTTCGCCATCCACAATGACTATACTGACGCCTTGGTCCATGACACGGTGCAATCAAATATGGTTGACAAGTCTATACGACATCGTATACATTATCTAATTTGCTTTAAACAAAGTTTTTCTATAATTGTTAATTACCATAATTCACGTAATTACACATTTTAATTTAAAAAAAAAAACAGTTCTCCCGAAAGGTCTCTTAAAATGAAACTGGAATTTAAGCCGCCGTGTGAATGTCTACGCAGGTCGGCAACCAGCTATAAGCCCAAAAATACCAAATCTAAACCGTCTAAACCCCGATCGGTGGGAATAACGGACATTAAACGTAAGAGAGAATATTCTCTACTAAAATTAATCAGTAGTTCCCTGGAAAATTATTTAAACAGTTATTTGTCGTAGATTCAATAGTTCTAATATTATACCTGGCTCGCGTCACGGTGGCAGACATAATAGCCGCAAAAGGATCAAGGAGACTTAACTTTGTCATTTAAAAGAACTAAGACCTATTAAAAAAATATTTTACAAGAATAAAACTTCATCAATAAGGTAAGAAAAGCTTGAAGTTCATAAAATTAAGTTTTAGATAATATGTTATTTAATAATTATA